GAGACCAGTGGGAAAGTACTGGACAGGACGAACAAATGAACAGACGGCTGAGGGACGAGGCAGAGCGAGGGGGACTCCCATAGCCCCTGCTCCCACCCCAGGCCAGGTCCCAGCCCCAGTTGGGTGTCAGGAGCATCAGGCCAGGCTGGGAATGTCCGATGGATGAGGAAGGAGGGGAACGTGGCACCCCGTAAGCCCTCGGCACGGTGGCAGCGGGGCTAGGACACCGGACGGAGGGGACAGCCAGGCCAGCGTGAAGCCCTGCAGCTCTGCGGGGGGGGGAGGCTCCCTCCCCACGGGAGTGAAGGGGATGGCCAAAAGGACCTTCTCCCACATTTCCAGCCAGCCTGGGGATGCTCCCACTGGGCGGGTGCCACCAGGAGTGGAGGACTCCAGGTGTCCCCTGCAAAACCCCCAGGTGGATTTCTCCAGCAGCTTTAACCTTGGGAGGGCAGCACGGGTGCCCCTTCCATTGCCTCCCTGCTGTCGTCTCAGTCCTTCTCCTGTGCCAGGCTCTCCTCCGTGATGCCCTGGGCTGCGAGCTCGGCCAGGACATTGTCCAGGTAGTTGATGTCGGGGTAGCCATGGCCAGTGAGGTTGGAGCCGAACTCTGTCTTGTGGTGGATTTCATTCCAGATCACCGTGTCCGACTCGCCTGTGGTGCTGGAGGTCCCGATGGCAAAGATCAAGCGCCGGTCCCAGGCTACCAGCAGCAACTTCAGTACCTGTGGAGGGGAGAGATGGGGCAGGCAGCAAGGCAAATGACGGGTGCAGGGGAAGCACCCACTCCTGCTGAGGGCATGCCTGACCATGCCGGTATGCCCCAGCAATGTGGGCAGCCCACAGCCAAGCCCTCCCAGGGAGCTCGTGATCCCAGCATGGGGTCCTACCTCCACCAAAATAGCAGGACCACGCTGCAGAGCTCCGCCAGAGCATGGGAACATTGCTGGGCTAACAGAGCACATGCTGGATGGGCTACGGGGAAAACCTCCACCCAGATTTGCCTCCATAAGCCCTATCTACTTTTCCCCGTGCTCCAAATAGCTGCTCGCTCCCACTTCCCCTTGATATGCCCTTGAGCATTCCTTGGCCACCTTGAGCCACCCGGGTGAGCTCCTCACCTTTCTGCCCTTCTCGCTGTCCGGCAAGTAGCAGTGCCGGGGGAAGCCGCGGGCGGTGAAGCTCTTCCCAGGGTTTGGGTGCTCTGGTCCCTGCAGCGTGTGGAGTAGGAGAGGAACAAAACCCTTTTGGAGCTCAGAAGGATGCTCTGGGCACACAGTAACACCCCAAGCTCCATGGATGCAGAGCTGCTCACTGCTGTGCTGGGTGGCCACACTCCAGCATGGTGGTCCTAAACACCACCGTCCCCCCTGCCACCAAGCAGATGGGGCCAGCACTTTCATGCAGATGTACCCCAGACTTCCCACAACATCCTTATGGACATGCAGCTCCCAAAACGTCACTGAACCTGGAGCTCTGAGTCAAGGCAAGAGCTGCAGCGTGACCTGGGGGTGACGCAGTGGTGACAAAGGCCACCAGCCCCCACAGGGGACCACCCACATACACCCCTGGGCATAGGGCCGGGCCGCACCTGCACCCCTGGGGGAATGTTGTAGATGATGCGGATGGTTTTGCAGTCAGAGTGGCCAGGCAGCGCGTGAGGGATGACGTGATACTCCATCTTCCCTGGGGGCTGTGTCCCTGTCTTCACCCCATAGATGGTTTTGCAGGTAGGACACTGCAGGCTCCCATCCTGAGAGCAGGAAAAGAGGGGAACATAATGAAACCAGCGTCCCCCAGCACTGAGCCAGACTGGGTACGTTGTCCCTGAGCAGCACTGAATGCCGTATTCATCATGAAAACAGTCATTTCAAAAACACTCAGGAAGCAGGGGGTAGGGCTGGGAGAATTTGCTATGGTGACCCAACTTCAGCCAAAAACCTGAGGCTCTTCCTCATCAGTTTTACAGTCCTTGCTACTTTGCCTACCTCTGGTTTGGTTTTGCTTTTGTTTTTTTAAAGAAGATAATAAATATTAAAAAAAACCCAAGCAATGTGAAACACATTTTCCTGGGAATGTTGAGCACAAGAGCCATTTGCAGGGGGCTCAGGAAAGCCCACCTGCGGCTCGAAAAACAGTGCCTGGTGCCAGATGCCAGGTAGCTCTGCTCAAACACACAGGGATCAAAGGTCACTGCCACTAACCCTGGGAAGGAAAGCAAGGACATAAAACTGGGCATGGCGGGGGGGAAATACCCACGCAACACTGGTTTCTGATTTAGTGGTCCCAAAGTGCTTGCTGCTGATAAAAATTAAACTCTGTCAGGGCGGGGAGGTCAGAGCCCTCTGGGGCAGCAGGACTCGAGCACCGGCCCACTGAGGGCAGGTGGAGCTCGACACAGGTTGCTGAGCTGGGGGCTTGGGCATCCGCCGGGGCTGCAGCCTTGCACCTTGTTGCCATTGTTGTACATGGCGACCAGGCAGTGCAGGTGGAAGACGTGGCCGCATTTCACCAGCTTCCCCACCAGGTCGGGCTTGACGGCCGGCTGGGGTCCTTTGTAGCCGGAGGGTGCAGAGAGGCGCTCCATGCAGATGGTGCAGTCCTGCGGAGAAGGGGAGGAGAGGGGTCAGACGGGAAGATGCGGCCGGAGCCTCTCTGAGGACATGGGGCTGATGAGCTGCCCTGCTCTTGCCCAGGGACCAGCACCCACCCCTGTTGCCGTGCTGTCACCCTGGGCCACCGCAGGGGCCGGCCACCACGTGTGTGTGGCAAACAGCCTCTCTTCGGAGAGGGACAGGGACAGGGCATAGCCATGATGGGTTGTGGGAAACCCCTGCATGGTGGTGGGGGGGGGCAGCACCCATGCCCCCAGTCGCTCCTCCCAGAGCAAAGCACCCCGGGGACACCCCAGCGTGACCCCCACTGCTCGCACCTCATCCAGAGGATGCCGCACCTTCTGCAGGTATTTTTTCAGTACCTCCTCCGGGGTTTTACCTGCAGGAGAGCAAGAGTCAGAGGGGCTGGAGGGCAGCATGGGGGAAACCCACTGCTGGGGGCAGCAGAAGGAGACGGGGGGACAGG